GACTCCCAAAAGATGAAAAAGCAACATAAATCCCCGACACCAAATGGGGGTAAAAGCGACCATGATGACAGAAATTCTGAGCCGGTAAGTCTCGACAAAGGCAAACCGACAGATCGGCCAGAGTCGTCGGAGAAGCGACATAACCAAAAGGAGAAGGGATTCGACCTCGAAGAACTACTGGACCAGGCCGACTGACCATTCACGGAGGAGATCATGAGAGAGAAGGTCCCTCCAAAATTCAAGCTACCCACGGTGAAACAATTCAACGGGACGACCGACCCAGTGGACCATCTAGATGCTTATCGGGAATGGATGGATATCTACGGAGTGTCGGAAGCGGTCAGGTGCTGGGTATTCTCGACTACTTTAAACGGGTTGGCCAGAATATGGTTCCGACAATTAAAACGAGGGTCAATCTCGAGTTTCAAGAGCTTGGCCAGAGCATTTGTGACCCAATTTGTAGGGGGATAGTGTCGGAGCCGACCCGTGGCCTATCTTTTAACCATTAAGCAGAGGACGACAGAGAGTCTACACGACTATGTAGCCCGGTTCAACGAGCAGAGGCTGCAGGTAGAAGGCCTTACAGACGCTGTATCTCTGCTGGCTTTCATGTCCGGCGTCAGGGATGAACATTTGTCATTTTCGTTCAGAAAGAGAACACCGAGCACCTTCTCGGAGGCGCTGAGCCGAGCTTAGAGGTACATGAGCGCTGGTGAGTTCTTTTACTCAAAAAGGGAACCAGACGGAAAGTGAACCGACCCAAAGAGGGAGAGGTCGGGAGATAAACCGCAGGGGTCGAGATGGGAGAAGAGGGATCGGAGTAGCCAGAAAGATCCACCCCGAAAATTTGAAAAATATACCCCGACCACCGTTCCACTCGAGCAAGTGCTGATGGAGATCAAAGACCAAAGGTTGCTCAAGTGGCCGGAGAGGATGAAGGCCCCGTCAACTAAGCGCAGCAAAGGCCGGTATTGCCTTTTCCACCGGGATCACAGCCATGCAACTCAGGATTGTTTTGATCTCAAGGAAGAGGTGGAAGGACTAATCTGAAGGGGTTACCTCAAAGAGTATTTAGAGGAACCTAAAGCGACACCAAATGGTGAAAGCGACAAGTCTCCCGCTCGAGAGATTCGAACTATAATGGAAGGCCCCATAGAAAGAGAATCCGAGAGAAAAAGAAAAGCATATGTACGAGAAGCTAGGACGAGTCGCAAGCAAAATGAGGTCTACCACGCGTATATTACAAACCAGCAAGTGACGATTGAGTTTTCAGAGAACGAAGCGACTCACCTCCTTCACCCTCATAACGATGCACTGGTTATCACTTTGAAGATAGCAAATGTTAAAGTACATCGAATCTTGGTGGATGGGGGCAGCTCGGCAGATATCATTTCCTGGACAGCCTATAAAGCTATGGATCTAGGAGAAAAGGTGCTTAAGAGCAGTCCAGCGCCACTGGTAGGATTTGGAGGGGAACGGGTCATCCTCGAAGGGAGGATAGAGTTGCCGGTAACGTTTGGAAGTGGGCCGAAGAGTGTCACTAAGATGGTGGACTTTTTGGTCGTTAACTACACATCCTCCTACAACGCAATACTGGGAAGACCGACGATGCATATGCTCAAAGCAATACCATCCACATATCACCAGTCCATRAAGTTCCCAACACYKGGTGGGGTAGGAGAGATTAAAGGAGAACAACGAGTGTCGCGGGAATGCTACWATACCTCAATGAGGGACAACGACAGGACTTCTACTAAGGGGGGCTGTTGACTTTTCCTTTCTTCCTTCAAATGTGGTTGTTTTTTGTTTTTCTACTTTTAGCAACATTTCTAATTGTTATTTCTTTTGTTCAATAAAGTATCCATTTATTTGGTTCTCTGTCAACTATATCTCTTAAATCCAAAACGAGATACCAAGCGACTTTTTGATAAAACACTTTGCCTCGTCTACAAGCATACTCTCAAGAGATATCGACAATACACTTGAGAGTATGGGGCAATAGGTACCGACTACGGCTACTCAACGACGTAAGCTTGGTAAATCCAATTCTACACGGTGACGGTAAAACCAGCTATAGCCGAGCAGGGCTCGGGACCGACCACTACTCGGGTCCGACCACTGTCGGCGTCGACCAAGTGCTGGGCACAAATCTACATTAGTCGACAGTTTTACGAGATAGCCTATGTTGGTCAATAGGTCTTATTTTCGACTGAACACAGCTAGGGTCTGACCACCACTCGACGCCGATCACGTGCGACGAAACATGAATCTACTTTAATCGACACGTTTGGAAAGAACAATTAAACAATCTCAACACGGCCAAACCAGAAGCGGGTCGATTGGCCTAGCACGGTTAAAACATGAGATGAAGTAAAAGACAAAAACAACAGCGGGTATAAAACCATTGGCTATGACCAACGTGTTAAAAACCTACGGAAATGAAAGCAACAAAACTCCATCAGAGTTAGAGCCGTAAGCCAGTAAGTGACTGGTAAGAGGGTTGATTGATGATTCCAAAGAAAAAAGATACAAGCAACATAGTGACAAAGCACATAAGAGTCAACCATAAAAACGACTCGCTCAAGCTACCGTATTACTCGTCATCGTCGTCATCCATGTCGTTAGGAGCGTCACGCTAGGCCCTAAAACGCTCCGGGAGGAAGGAAAAGTCAATGTCAGGGTGTTGAGTAGAAACCTGACGGAGAGACCAGGAAACACCGCACTCCATGGTAGAGTTTTGCAAGTCAACATACTCCTGAGTTTTCTTGAATTCTCTGGCCAAGAACTCAGAATTAGAGAGTCGAGCGTTGGCCTCGTCAAGTCTACTCTGCAGGTTAGCTAGCTCGTCTCGAGATTTTCTCTTCTCTATTTCCAACTCACGTTGGGTACCCTCCAGAAGGCTGTTGGCCTGGTTGAAGGAAGAAATGGCCTGTTCCAGCTCCTCCCGAGGGGCATAGTGGCAGCGAAGATAGTTAATTTCATCAGCAACTCGACTCGAGAATACCACCAGATGGTTGAAAGTCTGCCAAGGATAAAATTCGACGTTAAGGGAGAATGCTGTGACAAATACTGGAGGTTACCAAGCACTCACCTAGTGGAGATCGCTAAGGCATGTGCTGATGCTGTGCTGAGGATTTGACAGACCAAAGTTTGACCCGCTTGATGAGTCGCTGAGGCCTTGCCAGAGACTAAATGCTCTTTCCAAGTAAGTTGTCCCGACAGCGTCAGAATTGTATGGGCTAGAGAAAGGGAAGATTGAGACTTGAGAGGAGTTCCCTGGATGACCTCGAGGGGAGGACGGGATAGATGTCCCATGAAGTCGGGCGGAACGCCTCGGAGCTGTCGGAGGCATGGAAGATCGAGCATGTTGTGAAGGGGGTCCCTCCTCGGTCAAATCTGTTACCTCGATATCCGAAGCCCGACTAGAACCGGCCCCCAAGCCCTGGGCATTCCGGCGACGCTCTCTTTCATACAAAGAAGCACTCCATCTCGACATGTCTACAAACAAAGATAAAGGTAAAAAGCGACGTTCATGCAAAGTGAAGAGAGGATTTCGACAAGGACCTGGAGGGTTGCGGGAAAGGGCCAAACTAAAATCCACTAAGTTTTGCTCCGTAACCAAATCTGGGCCCCAACGCTCGATATCCGGTAGCTGGATAACGGTATGATAGAAAGTGGTTGCCTCGGCGGAAAGTTCACAGTTGCGGGAAACTGCCAACAAAAAGAAAAAGAAATATCAGAATTGACATTTGCGAAAGTCCGAGTGGAGTTCGGAAGCTACTTACCCAACTCCCTACACTCGGTCGGGAAGGGAAAATACAACCCTCTCTCGTCACGGGCTAGCCAGTCACCGCCAACAAAGAACCATTCATTCTTCCAATGCTTCACTGAGAAGGGACCCATAACAAGAACTTGGTTCCGGGAGCTAACATAAAAATGAAAGTTATCCTCGGGGCTATGTTTGAGATAATAAAGTGACATAAAATCCGCGGCAGTTAGAGGCTGCTCGCCCCTGAGGTATGACCACAAAATAAAGCAACTGATCAAAGTAGACCACCCGTTCGGGACGATTTGGGAAGGAGCTATTTGATTAAAAGCTAAAATGTTTTGAAGGAAAAGAGGCAATGGTAGGCGAACCCCAAATTGAAACATCGCGGCATAAGATGCTACTTCACCGGGGTAAGAGCCGTCAATACTCTCTCCCGGATTCGGAAGACGAAGGCTAACCGAATCCGGGATATGGTATTTCGGACGCAAGCGACGCAGGTCCTTCGCCGTAAGAGTGGAGTTATCCATCCAAAATGGACGATAAGACTGAGACTCTGACGAAGGATGTGATGATGACCCATCATCTGAAGAGGTCCACTCGAAATTAAGGCCAGCCATATAAAAAAAGAAAATACGACAAAGAGTAGGGCAGAAGAATGAATACCTTGTTGGGAGGTTGACAAGAATTGATGAGGATGAAAGGGTTTAAATAGCCCTTAACTCATAGCATGGTTCTCGGTCCAGAGGTCTTTACCCAAC